ATTACGAGAAAGAGTTCGCTTTTAAAATTCCTCTCGCTTATGTAACTCCTCAAGAATTTGGTAAAAAAAAAGAAAAATTGAAATTAATTTTGTTCCAAGTTTGGAACTTTGAACCTGGGCATTTGGGTTATTTGAATAATTTGGTCCATCTACGTCACATGAGCCACAAGACTTAAATATCATCATTTGTTCTTAGTATCAAACTTTGAGCAAAACATGTTTTGAGTCTTGAATCCAATAACAAACAAGGGTTTAAGTTATGGATTATCTACAGATCATTCATCACTTATATATAGAGGTCATGATTATTCTCACTTATTAGATGTCCAATTATATGACTTGCGGTGAGTCACAAAGTCTTATAATTTTATTTTTTTTGAACTTTATGTTTATTCAATGATACTTTTACAACCACTCGTTTAGAAATTTAAGGGACAAGAATGATTGTTACCTTCATATATAATAGATAAAAGAAAATATAAAATGATATTATTTACCTTTAGTACAAAATGGTCAAAATTAATCTTTGACCATTAAATTTGAAATTGGGCATTTATTCTATTGACCAAACGCAAAGTTCAAAATAAATTAAAAAGTAACATGTTGCAAGTATTTTATTTGATTAACCACCTCATTGATTATAAGATATCTTTGTAGTATAGTAATATTTTCCCTAAAGCAGAAAGAAGACAACCAAAGACTATTAGATTAGACAAAGCTTCAGCATGGGAATAAAACACTAAAAAAACATTTGGAGTATTATTCAATAGGGGCCACCGCCACCCGTGCAACTTGGCCCTAAAAGATTAGGGTTTGGGCTACAAAATGGAGCCCAAGGGCCTAGCCATAGCCGGGAAAAAAATGGCCTAAAGGTAGGGCCAGAGCAAGTTTAGGTTAAGCATGGCTGGTTTGGCCTGGCCTAGCCCTCATTGTTTTTTTTTTTATTATTTGGCCTAGGCCAGCCCTAATAGGCTAGGGGCGGGCATATAGGGGTTAGGGCCAAGGATAGATAGGTCCAAGGCACAGCCGTTTGCCAACCCTAAGATTTAAACTAAAAAGATAAAGCATAACCTCATTCCCTCATCTACATCAACAAATAGTAAAATACATTTTCTCTAAGCCAAATCCAAGAAAAAAAAAATCCTATGCAGCTTTTTCAATCAACTTAGAAAAACAATTCGTTTTTTTACTATTTGGTGAATCATATTTGCAAAATCTTTAAAAATTTGAATCTTTCCAAAGTTAAATTTAGATCCAAACTTCAATTTTGGATGTATAAATTTCATGAGAGTAACAAAGCTCTCAATATTCTCAACCCCCTCCCTTAAAATAAAAGTAAAAAAAAAAAAATTGTTCAAAGGAGCTCTAGCATCATTAAAAATTCGATTCCCAACTCAAATCAACCTAAAAAGGGAATGCAAAGTAACACTTTAGGGAAAATATAATAAAACATTTCAAAGTAGTGTTTGAATTTTAATTTTTTTTTTTTACAAATCCAAGTTACTTGAAATTTAGGCATGTGTTCTTCTCATCAAACCGCACCTAATAAAAATATAAAAAATATTCCGCAAAACCCAAATTGATCAAAATACCCCGAAAAATTTACGAGAGTATTTTGGTCAATTTTTTCATGTAAAATATTTTGTGGATATTTTTTGAAGATTCACCTATTTTTTATGAATACACATTTAAAACTTCAAATGATTTGGATATGTAGAAAAAAAATTTAAAATTCAAACATTATCGGGCATCTGTGATCATTAGAGCAACCCAGATTCAATCTGAGCCGTTAGGCTCATTTTTACTTGTGAGCCCATTGGCTCATAGGATAATTTTCCTATATATATATATGGAAAAAGCTAACACTAGTTGGCCAGCTATAATGAATAGTACTATAGGTGGAATGAGAACCGTTAGATCTTCATCATATGGTTCAGAATGCATATCACTCTTCTAATTTTAATTATTTTCTATAAATTGGATTGTAATGAAATTTTGGACATCTGTACTAAAAAATAGGGTGCACAAATAAAAAAATATAGAAAATATTTCTCAGAATATTAAATAACCGAAATACCCCTGAAAAATGATAAGGGTATTTTGGTCATTTTAAATTACTGAAAATATTTTTTTTATATTTTTCTATGGTGCACAATAGTATTAGGTATATATACCTAAAATTTCATATTAATTATATTTATATAAAAAAAACTTAAAATTTAAAAAGTAATGTGCATTCTGAACAACATGATGAAGATCTGACGGCTCCCATTCCACCTATATACTATTCATT